TATTTTTTCCAAGTATGCGTGGGCCATTGCTATTAAATCAAAAAATGGTTAAGATGTCACAACTGCCATGAACAAAATTTTGCTGGACGGGTGAATTCCAAAGAAACTACATGTGGATCAAGGCAAAGAATTCTACAACAAGAATTTCCAGACTCTTATGAAAAAACATGACATCGACATGTATTCTACCTTCAGCAATCTCAAGGCGTCGATATGTGAGCGTTTCAATCGAACACTGAAAAATAAAATGTGGAAGCAATTTTCAATCCGTGGAACCTATAAATGGATTGATATTGTAGATGATTTAGTAATAGAATACAATGATACAAAACATCGCACCATCAAAATGAAGCCGAAGGATGTCACCACAAAAATGGAGAAATTATTGTTGAGAAACATTTATGGAAAATCAGGAGCGATTCGAAAGCTGAAAATTAAATTCAAAGTGGGTGATAAAGTGCGAATCAGCAAGTATAAAACTGTTTTCGAGAAAGGCTACACCCCAAACTGGACTACAGAAATATTTACAATCAAGAAAGTGTAGAACACCATACCCGTAACTTACAAGCTGATGGATCATAATGATGAATCAATCGAAGGAGGTTTTTATCAGGAGGAATTAGCGAGTGTCAAGTATCCAGATGTGTATCTGGTTGAGAAAGTGTTGAAGAGGAAGGGGGCGAAGGCATATGTGAAGTGGTTGGGATTTGATAGTACTCATAATAGTTGGATCAATGTCAATGAAATGTNGGTACAGTATCTGTTGAATCGGGTAATAAGATTCTTTTATCATCATCGGAGCTCAGTGCCAATTGGTTTTGCCTTACAGTATAAACTTGATGCTTTTTACTCTGAATTAAATATTGAGGTTTGACAATGTTCGTTTTCTGAAAAAGACAATTTTTATAGTCTTTAAACGTAATTATTTTCATCGTTGCATTTTTTACACCTTTTGCACCCTTTTTCTCTCGTACCTCACCCAATACCTTGAAAGTATACAATTTGGCACGCAGGCCGATAAAATCAGTTATAATCCGACCATTACATTCATCCTTCATTACACCCAACACTTTTTTATTGTGTCTTTTTATTCCATAAACATTATTCTCGGGATAGTCCGAAGTGTCGAATTTTGATGGACTGTCTTTGATGAGCTCATAAATGTCTGGAACCGTGAAATAATATAACAGACTATCTGTGTCTGTGTATATCAACTTCGACTTGTCACCAAACACTTTTTTCACATAATTGTAATGAAAATCATAGATCCAGATTTTAGACAAATCCAAGATAGCAAATCCAATGTAGATGGGTTTATTAAAANTTCACATAATTGTAATGAAAATCGTAGATCCAGATTTTAGACAAATCCAAGATAGCAAATCCAATGTAGATGGGTTTACTAAAATTGATTTTTGCACGACTCATCTCAATCATTACCATACCATTATCGTCGAAAATGAGACTGCTGTGAAAATTAGGCTGAGCCATACGAGCTCTTGCTCCATACCTCCCCTCCCATTTAGTCACTAATTTGACATCTTTATGTTTCCTCACATTCTCCATGGTTTTCCCAAAGACTGCATTATTCATCAATTTGAAGAAATTCTTCTCAAAGTCATTCTTCGATTCTTTTCTTTTTTCAGTATTTAAATCAATGTAGGGCTTGAGCCATGTTCCCTGCTTAAACTTCAATATTCGGAGAATTTTTGTCAATTTCATACCAAGAGTCAGACATTGCTTTAAATTTCTGTAATGTATAACGTAAGATTTTTTAGCATACAGAGTAGTCATAAAATTTTTATTCTTACGATTTGGAGGGGCAAAATGCTCGGGACACAGCGGTAGATCTCGGTGTGCATCATGCAATTCTCTGGGATACTCCAAGTCTACTTCCAGAATATATCCATCTTGAGAGTCATCAGGAACATTGAAAACATTGAATCCTTCTGGATTTTCCCATTCGAAGCCGCCATAGGGTAGATGTTGACTCATAGCCGCACCGTACAGGTTGTTAACATCAAAGTACATGAGATACGACTCATCTTTATCTTTATCGTAATTTTCATCCATATATCCATATATATATATATATATATTGTTGGCGTGAGCATAACGATTGGTGCATTGAGCGACACCTCCACGAATCCCTTTTTCAATGAATAAAAGCTTATCAACATCTGTTAAAAGCTCAATTTCCACTTTTGTGTATTTCAACATTGCATCGAATGCTAGTCCAGGCGCTGTGTAATAATGCAATGGATCTAGCTTATACACCGAAGAGCAGCTTTTTCTAAAATTTTCAAAAATGTCTGCTAGGAGTAGAACATCAGTTTTCAAATACAAATCTGAATATTCCCCAAGTGTTGAGATGTCAAACTTCTCCCAAACTTGACACGCATGTTCATAGTCCTCTTGTGATATCTCCCGATTATTCAATGATGAATAAAAAGATTCTTTAGGCGGTAATTTTTCATCATCCAATTTCTCCCAACTATCTACGTATTCATATGGAAATACACCCTTCCGCAATAAAAGATGAAATTCAGCCTCGGTATTGCAATGCGCTCGGGTGATTGTCTTGTCCGTATCAGTCAAGTATGATGCCAATTTTTCAAGACTACTAGCCATGAATCTGAACGAATCAATGAATCTCAAGCTAACTTTCGTTTGTGGTAAATATTTTCGGAATGATATATACTTTTCTTTAGTTAGTGGCAGCAATTCTACGGAACTTTCAAAATGTTTCACTAAATCAACAATCAAAAAATGTGCATCATAACCCGAGAGATTATGAAAAACCACTGGTATTTCATGTGGATTTTTATAATTAATATTGCATCCTGCATGTGCAGCTCCACGATACCTGCCAGTAAAGTGACAATGATCTCGATGTTTAATATCTGTAGAAATGAACGGTTTCTCACAAATATGACACTCTTGGGATACTTCAAAATCTTGCAATTGTTTGCTAGTGAGTCTCTCCATTGGCACAACAGTCTTTAAAATGTCATCAACCATCACTCCGATTTTTTTCAACTCATTCATAAACCAGATGATGCAGTCAGAGCCACGTTTGATGTTAAAGCGCGATAGAGTTGTATTAAACGAACATTGTAAGTAGAAAGCGATACTGTATGGCACATGTTTTTGACACAAGTTATCATCATCGTTCTCATTAGTTTCTAAAATGCATTCCAGGTCAGCATAAATGGCAAATGGTACAGGCTCTTTGAACTTATCATTTTTGAAATTTAGAATTTTGTTTTCCTCCACCGGTAAGACCATTTTACACTTATTTATTAAAAAACAGTCCTGTTTGTGTTCATCATAACGTTTTTTCTCACGAAAATGACACAGACACCGATCACATAGGTATATAAAATGCCCACTACTCGAAATTTGTGCACTCACAAGTTTTGAAAGATTG